CTTAACGAGGAGAAGGAAACGCTGGTTTCTGTTGCATACAAGCAGTGCGATGACCTTATTGAGACTTTCAAGCAGGGCAAACTCGAAAAGGCACCTGGTTGTAACATGGAGCAGACTCTAGAAAACTCGATCTCGGGTATTCTCAGCAAGGTCCGACAGCAAGCTGGTTCGTATTGTATCGATACATTGAGCCGAAATAACGCTCCGCTTATTATGGCCCAGTCTGGCTCCAAGGGCTCAGACATTAACGTCGCCCAGATGGTTGCGGTCGTCGGACAGCAAATTATTGGTGGCCAACGTGTTCCTGACGGTTTCCAAGACCGAAGCTTGCCACACTTCCACAAAAACGCTCGGCAGCCTCCATCAAAGGGCTTCGTCAAAAACAGCTTCTACTCTGGTCTTTTCCCAACAGAATTTCTCTTCCACGCCATCTCCGGCCGTGAAGGTCTAGTCGATACTGCCGTTAAAACTGCAGAGACAGGCTATATGTCACGACGTTTAATGAAGTCGCTGGAGGATTTGTCAACCCAATATGATGACACGGTTCGTACATCTGGTGGTGGCATTGTGCAGTTTCAATTCGGTGCAGACAAGCTTGACCCCGTTGATATGGAGGGTTCCGCTGAGCCAGTTCACTTCCAGCGTACCTGGACCCATGCAGAGGCACTTACGTGGGATAATGATGAGCCATCTATGACGCCGGATGAGATCCGGTCCTTCTGTGACTCAGTGCTCGAAAAAGAACGACGTCGTTTTGTGAGACGTGGCCTGGTACATAACGAGCTCCTGGATTATGAGGATTCAAGTGACTATGCCATTGATGAGCATGAGAGCGCCAGAAAATTTCTCAAGGCAATTGAGAGCCATGTTGAAGGACTAGCATCGAAGCTTGAGCGGGTGCGAAAGCTTGCCGGTTTTGAAGGGGACGTCATGGTCAGAGACACCGCCCAGGACCATGCCGACCGGACAGCCAAAGTTTCAGTATCTACTCTTAATCTCTTCATCAAGCTCTGCCTCGAAAAGTACAAGAAGGCTCATGTCGAGCCTGGACACGCCGTTGGTGCGGTTGGTGCTCATTCGATTGGCGAGCCTGGTACCCAGATGACCCTAAAGACTTTCCACTTTGCGGGTGTTGCTGGTATGAGTATTACCCAGGGTGTACCTCGAATCAAGGAAATCATCAATGCCTCGAAAACGATCAGCACGCCTGTCATCACATGTCCTCTTCAAAACGACCAACAAATTGAAGTGGCTAGAGTGGTTAAGGCTCGTATCGAAAAGACGTATATATCTGACGTTTTGCGTTTTGTCGAAGATGAATGGCGCACGAGCGAGGGTAACGTTGTTCTTCAAATCGATTCAGATGCCCTCTCCGATATGCATTTGGGCATTGGCCCTTACGACATTGCTGAGGCAATCTGCAAGCAACGAAAGTTGAAGATTGCGAGGGAAGATCTCTCCATCGAGGGCGAGCGAATTGTGGTGCGGGTTAGGGATGTCAGTGACGCAACTAAGAGAACTGCCCGAAGCAAAGCAGCTGCCGAAGAGAGTGGTGACATGCTGTTGAGGGCAAATTTTCTACGACGAGCTCTCCCATCTGTCCCTATCTCGGGCTATTCTGAGGCCACTCGGGCCATCATCCAGACTTCGGAACAGAACACCCACAAGGTCTTGGTTGAAGGGTATGGACTCCGAGCGTGTATGACTACAGAGGGTGTCATTGGTACATCGGCTCGAAGCAATAGTGTAATGGAATGCAAAGATGTGCTCGGTATCGAAGCGGCAAGAACCACCATTGCCGACGAGATTGGCGAGGTTATGGGTGACATGGGCATTGATCCACGACACATGCAGCTCCTTGCAGATGTCATGACCTACAAGGGTGAGGTCCTTGGTATCACTCGATTTGGTCTGTCCAAGATGAGAGACAGTGTTCTCCAGCTTGCTTCATTCGAGAAAACGCCGGACCACCTATTTGAGGCAGCCGCAGGGATGAAGACGGACCAGATCGAGGGTGTCAGTGAATGCATCATCATGGGTCAGACAATGACGGTGGGTACGGGTGCTTTCCAGGTGGTGCGTCGCCTGGGAATAGAACAAAAGGATTTAAAGCAACGCCCAACAACATTCGAAGATGCATGGACTGCGGAAATAAACTTGAAAAGAAAAGGACGTCGAACAGTCTGAGGGCCAGCTGGAGAGGGAAGACTGGAATTTTTTTTTTGATTTCCTCTCTTATCTGCAGTAGTAATTGATGGGAAGTACTCACAGCGACTGGGCAGCTTGGATCATTGAAAATATGTGAAGAGTCCACCACTGTGTGGTGCAAGGACGAATCAACTTCCCAAGGGACTTACTCCCTGCGTACCTTAGCTTCAGTACCACCTTATGTTGAGGTACCAGTTATAGCATAATGACGGGTTCTTACCGTCGTACAATGTAGCTTATCAGCCTTACGGGATGTGCGTCGACCTAGTACTGCACGTGATTTGGTCGCATCATCTTTTCCTCTTGTCACGCCCAGCGTGCAGACGTCATTCGCTGATAAGAATCCCTCCTGCCAAGAAGGCTCAAGTACTGGGCTAAATTTATCCCGGAGCCACAGAGTTCGACGAGAAAATATTGCTAGCACTGGATGATCGAAGAGAGGTAAGAAATCGTTGAAGAAGAAGAGAGAAGAAGAGGAAGAAAAAAACATTATGTGTGGCCGTTACGTCTTAGCGCTGGTAAGTTATCACGTAACTCTGATCGACGCTCTTACTCAGGTATTCACGACGTACAGAGGCCGTCGCAGATTCGTCAAATGCTTGAGGATGAAGACATGCCAGTGGATGACGCCCCAATTGATGATGGGGAGAGTGCGCCTCGCAGTAGCTACAATTTCGCACCAGGATACCATGGCATTGTTTATCGTGCCAACCAGTCTGAAGGTACAAGCAACAGTTACACCGGAGTTCGGTACAACAACAATGATGATGAGCTTCAAAAGAACAACGAAGACGATTCCGGCGAAATAACTTCTATCAGTACCAAATCTGTTAAGTACAAGCTCCAGTCGATGAAATGGGGTCTTGTTCCCTCGTGGACTAAGCGAAACCCAGACTACGGGTCCATCCTTAGGACTATTAACTGCAGAAGTGATTCACTCAGCACACCTGGTGGAATGTGGGCATCCATGAAGGCTAGGAAGAGATGCGTCGTTATTGCCCAGGGTTTCTACGAGTGGCTCAAGGTTGGCCCCAAAGACAAGGTACCTCACTTTACCAAACGCGAAGATGGTCGTCTCATGTGTTTTGCTGGGCTTTGGGACTGTGTCCAGTATGAAGGTGAGTTTGTGCAAACACTGATCCGGGCATTGGACAGGGCACGCTTACGCTCTTTTCAAGGCTCAAATGAGAATCTCTATACATACACCATAATCACGACTGACTCCAATCAACAACTGAAATTTCTGCATGACCGTATGCCCGTGATATTGGAACCCGGTTCTGCAGAGTTAACAACGTGGCTGGATCCTTCACGCAAGGAATGGTCTCATGAACTACAATCTATTCTCAAACCCTTCAGAGGAAGACTGGTTGTCTATCCTGTCTTAAAGGACGTTGGGAAAGTCGGCAATAATTCTCCATCATTCATCATTCCCTTGGACAGCAAGGAGAATAAGTCTAGTATAAAAAATATGTTCGCCAACGCTGCTAGCAGTGGTACTACTAGCCCATCTACGAAAGCCAGCAGAAGGGAAATGTTTGAGGATGCCGGTGGCGATAGGGCAGAGAGCGAGAAGTTCACGGAGACATTGAACCCAGACGAGAAACCAGGCCAAAAGCGTAGGATATCTACTACCTCAAGAATTGAAGATGGACAGACAAATGACAAGAAGCGGAGGGCGACTGGGAAAATAAGCGCGATGAAAAACCATCCAAGAAGTAAGGGCAACACGAAACCTACCATTGGAGGGAACCAAAGGATTACACACTTCTTTGGGAAGGACGAATCATAAAGGCCTCTCAGAAGTGCCAAATGAAGGGGAACAGTATTATAGCCACTTGGGCTCATCCTTGATGCGTGATCTGTCCGCGAACTGGGCAAGGCAGTTGACCCTTTGTTAGTATAGGTTACGAGGAGTGAAACGGAAAAAAAGAAAGAAAAAAAGAAAAACAAGAAGCAAACAAAGTTAAGATTGGGACAAATGAGCCAAACTTCAACCACCCGAGAAGCTAGAAGAACGACGTCACCTACGGTGAGAAATGTACTACCGCCCGCCTGCTAGGTTGTTGTCGCCAACTTCAGATCAGCTACTGCCAAGTCATTCATCTCTCACAGCTTGAGCCAAGCAAGCCATTTCCCATTCGCCTTTGCTATTACCTAGTTTGCTTACGTCTTAGTTTAGCCATCTATGTAGGTTGCACAACTTCTGCTTGAGGTTTGTTTATCTTAATGTCTTTCTTTTTATTGACCTTTCTGATTTTCTACCTCTTCGTCAGTTTTTGTGACGGAAACCTCCCAATACTTCGCATAACAAACGAGATTACAACACTTGGCAAGGAAAACATATCCTTTTAGTAAAAACAAGTCTCGAAACATCCAGTAACGCGTTACCGGCAAAATCTCGACATACGGTGACTATTGCTATCAGCACACCCCCTGCCGGGGCTCAAGTCAAGGGGATTGCGTATTTAACGTAGACATGTTGGGACGACTTGGCTAAATGTTCCAACTACAGTGAGCTTTTTACCTGATTTGTGTACATCCAGAGCACCAGTGGGAAGAAGCAGACCGTAATATATTGTTTCCAAGTCAATAAGTTCGATATGATGAAGCATTGGTATAAAAGATGAGGCCCCCGAAACGAAAGAACTATGAACAAGGTGGAAGTGAATGAATCACAAGCCGATGTACGAATTATTAGGAAATTCAGTTTAGATAGGCATTGTTAAAGTCGAAAAGATAATCGCCACCACAAAAAAAGAAACAGAGTGAAACAAACCACAAAATAACGATGAGGGACACCGGATTTGAACCGATAACCTTCAGGAATCTCCAATAAGTTCTCAGGTTAAACACAACCAGAAAGCGACTGGAATCTGACGCGCTACCGTTGCGCCAGCCCCCCAATATGATGCTACGGACGATATAATAGTCCTAAAAGAATGGGGAGCTAGGAGAAGGTAGAAGACTAACTAGAAAAAGCAGCAAAAATTGAGGGACACCGGATTTGAACCGATAACCTTCAGGAAACTCCGACGCAGGCAGGCTACTGTCACCTACAAACCGCTGGAATCTGACGCGCTACCGTTGCGCCAGCCCCCCATGCTGATGGGACGACGGGATTAATAAATAGTTTATATAGTATTTGAAGAAGATTGGAGTATTAATTATAACTTAATAAAATAGTACATTTTAAAGAGAAAGTTATAATATTAATAAATATTATTAAAGAATTTTTATAAAATAAAAATTTTAAAAATTTTAAAAATATTTTATAAAAATTAAAAAAAATATTAAATTAATTTAATAATAATAAATTATTTATAATTATATTAAATAATTTATAATATTAAAAGAATTATATATATAAAAAATATTTTTTAATAAATAATTTAATTATTAAAAAAGGAAAATTTTATTTTTTATTTTTTTTATAATTAAATAATTAAAAAAATAAGCTTTTTAATTATTTTATTTAATATTTATTAAATAAATATTTTATTTATTAATTTAACTTTTTATTTATTATATATTTAATTATATTTAATAAAAATATTTATTTATATTTTTAAAATAAAAGAGTTAAATCTATTAGGGACTGACCCTTTTTGGCCATTTTTTGCTAATTTGTTTAAACGCGTTATAAACCCAGCTTTACCTGCCTTTTTGATTTTAGTTCATCTGACTTATACCTAACTTCCCTTATAACTAATATATACTTTAAAGCTTATTTTTTATTTTCCTTAAAGAGGTATTTTTTTATTTTTTTTAAAGTTTGGCTATAGGTTTATTTTAGCTAGCTTATATTAATTGCCTTTTTTTATTTTCTCTTTATATTTAAATTAATAGTAATATTGCCTAGCCTCTAGCTATTAGCTACTTTAGTTATTAATTATTAAATTTAATTTTTATTAATTATATCTTTAGTTTAAATTATAATTATATTATTTAGTCTTTTTAACTTTTATTTATCTATTATTATTATCTTTAGTATTATATTTTTAATTGTATTTTTATATTAAACTTTAGATAATAATATAATCTTATTTAATATATAATATTATAAAAGCTATATATATAAATTATAATGATTATATTAATTAATTATTTATTTATTATTAACTAAAGTATTATATATATTTTAAAATTTTAAAATAATAATATTAAAGTTATTATTTTATATTTTATAATTAATATAAGCAAAAGTAAGTATATATAATAGTTTGTATTTTAAAATATTATATTGGAGTTAGAATTATTTTTATTATTAATAGATTATAATATTAATTAATATTAGTAGAATTATATTTAATAATAGGTTTATAAACTTAAATCTAATTATTAATTTAGAAATAAGGATAATCTCTATAGGTAGTCTAAGGTAAATTAAGATATTATTGCCTATTATAATATACTTTAGGTATGCCTTATTTATAATTATCTTCTTAATTATATAAATAGCCTTATTTATTATCTTTAACCTTAAGTAGATATTTAACTTTATTATTATTAGTATACCCTCTATATATATAAATATTATTAATATTAGGATTTTATTATTATTTTTAATATTTATTATTATTATTATCTCTTTTTTTATAAATATTCTATTTTTTTAAATATATATTAATAAAAAAATATATAATAGCTATTAATACTATTTATAAAATATTATTATAATTTTTATATTTAAATTTTAATAATTTTAATTTAATAATATTATTATTATAATATTGGTTTTTTATAGAATGTAATGGCTAATTTAGTAATAATAATTATTTAATAATTATATATTATTTTTATTTTATATATTATTATAAATTTACCTTAATAATTATTAAAATTACTTATCCCCTATAGTCTATATTTATTTTATTAATATAATAATAATAATAAATCTTTATTAAAATTAATATACCTTTTTATATTTAAATTATTATTTAGGCTTAAATAATAGATCTAAAGATTATAATATTCTCTTATTTTTTAAAATAATAGATCTTTTTTATATTGGCTGAAATTATTAAAAATCTTTATTAAATAATATTATTATTATATTATTAAAGTCCTATATATTGCTATATATTTAGCTTAAATAATTGTTTATTATATATAATGTATATAATCTAAATATACTAATTTTATTTATTATTAATATTTACTTTTCCTACTATTTTATAATCTTAGGCCTATTAATAAATTGGCTTTTTATTATATTATGTTTTTAATATTTATTAAGTTTATAAATTAAATAGATAATAATATTATTAATTTAGGATATTATAATATTAATTATAATTATAATTAATAGTCTAGAAGTTATGCCTTAAAGTATAAAGATTTTTATAATTGCCTTAATAATTTAATTCTTATTTATATTATTTTTACTTTTAATAAATATATATAATTACTTTAGATATGCTTTTGCCCTATTAGAAGGCTTACTAGTTATTTTAATTTATTATTATTATTTTTATACTTTTTTTATATTTAATTACTTATAAATTAAAAAAGGGCTAATATTTATTATTTATTTAAATTAAATTATATAATTAAGTTATATATTATAATTTAGAATATATATAATATATTTAGCTTAAATATAATATTGGCTATTATAACCCTAGTGTTAATATTAGTAATTAAGTCTATCGTATTAAGCTTTATTATATTAGTTGATATAAGATTGTCTTTGAACTTACTAAATATGCTAGTTATTGCTGCTTTTTGATTTTGCCTTTTTTTACTAATTATTTTATTAATGAAAATAAAGTTTTATATTCTTTAGATTTTTTATTCTAATTTATAAAAGGTATTTGCTTATTATATTTTAATTAATTTTAGCTATTTTTATAAAGGTATTTTATTTATCTTTATATTATTATTTTTAATTTAGTAAGCTTATAGGTTAAGGTTATTTTTTTATAAAGTCTTTAATTGTTATAAAATGCCTTTAAGTTCTAAAGATATTATTATTATTTGGTTAGTAGTAGTAGTATTTTATATTATATTAATAAAGTAAATTATCTTATTAATAATCCCTATTTAAAAAGTTATTGTTTATTTTTACTTAAATTTCCCTTTTATTTTCTTTTTAGCTTTATTTTTAATTATTTTATTATTATAATTATTTAATATAATAGTCTATTATTTAATATTTTACTTTATATTTTTTGCTAATTATTATAATAATTATATATTATTTATTATAAATATTAATTATTTAAGCAAATAGTGCTTTTATTATATTTATAATATATTAATATTTTTAATATTATTATCTAAAGTTATTTTAATAAATTACTATTAAGGTATAAATAATCCTAAATATTATATTATAATATAACTATTTATATTATTCTTAAAGATATTTAAAAAGTCTATATTTAGATATTTATTTATATAGATACTTGATCTTATTATATTAGGCTATAAGTATTAGGTCTATAGATTGCTTAACTATTAGCTAGGATTAAGTGAAATCTTATTAGTGCCTAATTAGCTATATATATCTTAAGGTATTATTTATATAAGAGTTAGGTAGTTAAATAGATATAGTTATTTAAGACTTTTCTCTTAATAGGGATATATTTTTAATAATATAATTTATTGACTATTATTTTATATTAAAATTTATTTCTTAATTTTATTCTTTAAAATAGAAATTAATACTATTTTTATAAATTATAATTAATAATTAATAATATTTTAGAAAAGCCAGTTTATATTAATATATATTTAGTGTGTTATATAATAAA